GCGCCAAACACCCTCGCTACGCCTCTGGTTTGAAGTAATTAACTTTCTCCTCTTCCCTTCTATAGCATAATCTTTAAATAGATCTATCCACAAACAACTTCATCGACGGCAACATACCTGGTCCTATTTTGTTCCGTTTCTGAATGAGAATACACTTGAAGGCCTCAATGAAGCCCTTCCTGAAGTTCTCATTGAACCCGCCGTAGAGAATAGGATTCAGAGCACTGTTGAAATAGGCAATGAAGACAGCGATGTACTTTACTATGGCCATGTACGGGGGCTGTTGGGAGGATACACAAAAGAAAAGTCGTTTTAAAATGGGTCAGTAAAAAATATTCGACGAAGGTTTTTTTAAAATCATAAACGAGTGGAGTAAGCATTGGAAAAAATGTTGTGATAGATTTGTTAAATAAGCAATTTTAATGGTTGTTTTTAAATTATTCAATCACCAAGGTTACAAGCGACTGTTTTAAAAACAAAACATAACATTGTAAGCCCTATTAAAAGTTATTGCCAATGCTGGGGGAGAGCCTCTGACCCTACTGAATGTTAAAATAAAGCAACAACGAAATTAGAGCAAAGCTTCCGCTTCCATGGCAACAATGTTGAATATGGCATATATGCATACTTTATAATATGTATGTAATGTAAGCACATTCTTGATGTGATCTGTTTTGTAAGATACTTCTCCGAACCCAAGGGTCAGGATTCAGTGTTAGAAAAATGTGTTAGTTCATGTTAACGGTGGTTGCGGTCAAGCAGAATCCGTTGCCGAATAACATGATGACAGAATGTATTGTATCAAACACGGTGGGTGTTATGACATGAACAATAACAAACATGACAGCACATATTGAATGTAAAATGTACATCACCTGTTCAGATTGCTTTGGTACGATGTCATACAATAGCATGGATTGCTGCGGTGTCCAGCATATTACGAACACAATCAGCACGGCGACCAGCATCTTCGTGACCTGTAGCGGAAGAGATTTCAACGCCGTATCCATTTAGTTAAACACATGAATATGTGGCGCAGAACAGGCTCTTCAATCACACACTTCTCATATCCAGTGGCGTACCTAAGGATGTGCGACGGGGGCAACCACCCAACAGACCACCCTTATGGGCTTTTAAAATTTAACGTTATAGTTATATAATTGATTTTTGTGTGTGTGTGGGTTAGGGGGCACTTTTGAAAGATCACCCCAGGTGTTTTGGTATCTAGTCCAGGGACGCCAGTCCTCTTGTCGAAGTCTGACTTTCTGTCCATTCCTCTAAGCATAAATTGAAGGCGGAATTTAGTTTTGCAACATTCTACTTCTAAACTAAGTTGTGAGCAACAGAAAATATGACAGTGAACATTTCTATCCTTTGGCTGAGCATTAATGAGCTTATCCCGAAAACACAGTTCCCTTTTAGACGATGATTAGGTGACATTGGGAATACCATAATTTATAAGAAGAACACCCTTTATAGGAAGAACATCATTTATAAGAAGAACATCATTTATAAGAAGAACATCATTTATAAGAAGAACATCATTTGATATCAAAGATGTCTGAAATTGTATGGATACTAAAAATGTTTAACTATTTATGGATTTGAAAAAAAGTATATATTTTTTTCTACGTTTGATTTTGTGGTGCCCCTTTCTTCCGGATGCCTTAAGCCCTTATATTGCTTATGGTTATTCCGAGCCTGCTCGTACTATGATAACATCTGCTATAAATGAAGACTTAATATGTAGCATACCTTTGATGACCTATAATATAAATGAAGACCTGATGTGTAGCACACCATTGATGACCTATGATATAAATGCAGAACTAATGTGTAGCATACATTTGACCACCTCTAATATAAAAGAAGACCTAATGTGTAGCATTCCATAGATGACCTCTGCTATAAATGAAGACTTACGTGTACCATACCTTTCTCTTAGCTTTATCCTGCGCTGATGACGTAGTGCTGATAAGCGTGCCTGGTGATTTCCGTCGCAGGAGTTTAGCCGCGATCACCGAGTATGTGACAATCATGACTGCTATAGGGAGGAAGTACAGGACAATCCCTTCAAACCAGTAGTAGACGATTCGACCAGGTTCCCAAGTCTCACATTTTTCATTTTTATAAATCTGGATTTAAAAAAATAAAAAGATGACATAATTATAAAGATATATATATATATATATATATATATATATATATATATATATATATAATTTTATATAAGTGTATGTAATATTAATTTTATATATATATATAAAAAAAAAAAAATAAAACATATATATATATATATATATATATATATATATATATATATATATATATATATATATATAACTTGCTACCAGTGGATGGAATATTAATATTATCTAAAGTAAATTTACGAAAAATAATCGTTACAAGAATTTAATAATCTAAATTTAATCTAAAGTTCGATGTTTCTTCTAAAATGTGTTTGCCTTCTCATCCACAAAATCGTTAGCAGAAAAGTTGT